TTTTTTTTTCTTTTTTGACAAGAAATCTAGACTGGAGACACAGCATCAGCTCCCGGGAAAGGGATGTGGTGTGTGACAATGTATTATTATTTCGAGATATATTATTACGCATTATTATTTAAAGTGCTAGAGTCTGCTTATTATTTCTAATACTTAGATACTTTGAGCAACTGCTGTTTCATCGTCGCGTTTTTTCTCACCATTGAAGCAATAGTGGCAAATCTTCCATTCTTCTACTCTCTGTAGCTTCTCTCATCCACATAATTCCAAATAGGCGTTGAAGGTTAAGAGAACATAAGACAGGCCACCAGTGCAATGATAGGGCTTGCTTGGGCTCATTTTAGTTAGCAAATTTCAGTCCTTCATTGCAAAGCTTTTTTTCTTTTCATTTGTGAGATTATAGCTACGTTAGATCTGTGAAAGCATCTCACACTGATAGACCGTGCTGTTTTAGTTTTATAATATAACATTTAGTCGTGTTTATTTTCCGCCTTGATTATCTTTCAATACAGATACTTGAAAAAACGGATTTATCAAAGAAGGACAGAGAGGCAGTCCTGGAAATGATCATGGATGTTTCGGGGGCCAAGAATGCCGTGGAGCTGGCGATGGATTTGTTTAAAAACAAGGATCTGTACGGCTTGGAAGGTGAATTCTTTGAGGTAATCGCATAATCGCAATCCATATCGTGACTTTTTTGCACTGAAAGTAAACTTTTTTTAATGCTTAAGAACATATTTACGAGTATTCTCAGGTGCATTTGATCAATTACTTTAAGGGATTTTCTCAACACTTCCCGGTCAACCTAAAGGTGCTTTTTAGTAGGATATTATTTTCCCCTCTCTTAAGCTTTTTACAGTTTTTCTCCGCATGCAGTTGGTTTTGATACTTCGTAAGTATGCCACAGACAACATTCAGAGCAAAGAATAGATGCGCCTCCTAATTAATGCTTCTCCATTAAACGTGGTTTTGCAGTGACATTCCGAACGATTCCAGTGATCAAGGGCATAAGTTAATCTAGTGATTATGCAAATTTAAAAAAAAAACTGAAACTTTTTTCAAATAACCCCTTCTTTCTAACTCACTATGGGAGAAAGAGGAGCTCGAAAATAGCTCCAGTGATAGCACGTACCAACAATAGTCATAGTTTGTCTGGCAAGCCTGTTGATGGCTTTCATTTTCAAGAATTACTTGGAATTTTTATAAAACACTGAAAACACGTTAATTTTTAAAGCAAAGATTTCAGGCCACTGAACGACTTGCCGATGTGTTCAAAGCGCTTGAGCGAACATTCAGCAAGCAACAAAATCGCGAGCTTGGCAAAAAAGGGTACACGTTTCTAGAAGTAGAACAGTACAAAATGGTACTCAACGCACATGGTAAGTAATGATAAAACACTGAGTATTGCGGTATGTGTAGAAACAAGCTATACCAAAATTTCTAACGCGCTGAAGTAGCTAATGTTGTAGACTAAGTGCCTAAAAATCGTGTCCTAATTTAATATTGAAACACAAAGTCTAGGGGAAATAACTTTCACACTTACAAGACTTGAACTCGTATCACATCTATTTGCCTTAGAGTGCGATGAAAGACATTTTAGATGAGTTCATCTTACTTTTCAAACAGTATTTCGCATGAAAAGTGATTTTTCTGGTCCCGCCGTGCCGATCGATGCTCCCACCAACAC